TTGTGAAGCCAAAAAATCATATGCCATTTAGTTTCTATCTTTTAAACTTACCCGATCACGAAACCATTCATGAAATGTCAAGGAATGACGCCTTTCAATCTCAAATTGTGATAGGCGAGGTGAGCGATGTTGTTTCTTTAAAAAATCCTTGTGTTGCCTAAAAACATTAAATAGGTAGGTTAGTCATATAAAAGTGAAAAAAAAAAAAGATTTATTTATCCTACTTACTCTATGAAGGGAGTGACTTCATGAGTATTAAAAAGAATGTATCGATGGGCTTGAAGCAAGGACTGAGAATCAAGCTTTATCCTTCGCACCCTCTTTCGTTTCTTTAGATTAACAGCCATTGGTATTTGTGCCCTTCCCAATGGTCGACTTAAGGGAGTTATTAGATTTTCTTCTACCTCATTAGAATGCTCCCTATCATCTTCATCATCATTACGCAAAGGTCTATTAAATCTTGTCTCAACCCCCTCCAAATATCTTGAGCAGAATGTTAAACACTCATTTGACAAATAAGCTTCTACAATTGATCCCTTTGGATGAGCTTTATTAGAAACATAATTCTTAAGTGTAAGGAGAAACCTAGAAACAATTAAGAAAATCATAAATTAGTCAACATTTTTTAGATTTGTTACAAATTAATGAATAAATTATCACAAAAATAAAAAATATTAAAAATTAAACTAATCGTTCAATGGGGTACATCCACCTATAAGCAACTGGCCCACCAAGCTTTACCTCTTCTGCTAAATGCATGATAAGATGCACCATCACAGTGAAGAATGAAGGTGGGAAGATCTTTTCCATTTCACACAAGATTATTGCAGATTAAGACTTTAACTCATCAAGATCAGATTCTTTGAGAACCTTTGCACACAAGCATTTGAAAAGGTGACACAACTCAATAATAATTGAAGCAACTCTTTTAGGCAAAGATCCTCGAATTGCCACTGGTAAAAGTTCTTCCATAAGAATATGGCAATCATAACTTTTAAGTCCTATTATCTTCCGTTGTTTAACTTGAACACAACGGGAGATATTACATGAGTATTCATCTGGCAATTTAATATCCTTTAAGACCTTAAAAAATGCATCCTTCTCCTTTGCAGTCATTTGATAACAAGCTTTGGGCAGCAACTTAGAGTTATTGCTTGATCCTGGTTTTGGATGTAGATCAGCCCTCAACCCCATATCCTCGAGGTCACAACGTGCTTTGTAATTGTCTTTTGTTTTTCCATCTTGGTCAGTTATTGTTCCATAAGTGCTATCGAAGACATTTTTCTCAGTGTGCATCATATCAATATTGTGAGGAAGTAGATTGTGCTGCCAATAAGGAAGAGTGAAGAAAATACTAATCTTTTTCAAAGGCTGACTTGACTCCCCTTCCATTATATTCACATCATTTGCATGATTCAAAATTTCTAATCCGGATATTCGACCAGGTGGCATTCGAAGCTCCTTATTTCCATCAAAAGATTTTTTATCATGTCGATAACTGTGCCTTCGATCTAACCATCTCCGATGGCCCATATAACAATATTTCCTACTGTGATATAACCACATAGATTCTGTGTTATAACCACAGCATGGACAAGCCTTTTCCCCCCTAGTACTCCACCCAGACAGCATTGCTCGAGCTGGAGAGTCATTGATGGTCCACAATAATGCAGCTCTCAACTGGAATCTCTCCCCTTTAGAAGCATCAAAAGTTTCAATCCCAGCGTCCCATAGTTGTTGTAACTCTTCAATGAGTGGCTGCATGTAGATATCAATTTTGTTTCCAGGACTTTTTGGACCAGGAATCAACAGTGACAGTATCAAATTAGGTTGCTTCATACATAACCAAGGAGGCAGGTTGTATGGAATTAGTATAACAGGCCAGGTGTTATATGTGACATTCATTGACTTGAATGGATTAAATCCATCAGAAGCCAGACCCAATCTCAGATTTCGAGGATCAACAGCAAAGTCTGGATATTTTTCATCAAAATGTTTCCAAGCTAGACTATCTGCAGGATGGCGAATAAGTCCATCCTTAGTCCGTTTTTCATCATGCCATCTCATAAGAGAAGCAGTTTTTGAAGACATGTACAGCCGCTGTAATCTTGGGATTAAAGGGAACCATCGCAAGATCTTAGCAGCTTTTGGTTTTTTCTTTTTCATTGTGCAATCTATAGAATCTTCTTCAATATTTGTGTTAACAATCCACCTCGAAGCACCACACTCAGAACATAAATCATCATTAGCTTTATCTTTCCAAAACAACATGCAATTATTAGGGCAAGCATTTCTCATAACTTAAGCCTAAACTTCTAATGATTTTCTTGGTTTCACTATAAGACTTAGGTAACACATTCCCTTCTGGTAGCAAGAAGCGCAAGTACTCTAATAATTGAGTGAAAGACTTATTACTCCACCCATTTAAGCATTTTAGGTGAAATAAATGCACAACAGCAGCTAACTTATTCTCTTCACAATTGGGGTATAGTTTCTGCCCAGCATCCTTCAACAAATTAAAAAAACCATCCATATCATTTCCAGACATGGAAGGTTCTTGGTTTAAACCCTCCCTTCCAGAATTGAAACTATCTACAACCTCATTGGGGATGCTATCTTCCATATTAACCC